GTGGCAGTGGAAGGTGTCAAAGCAGTTTGGAGAGAAAAACAAAGTAAAGAACAAAAAAACGATTAATCGATTATTAAATTAGTCATCGATTATTTTAATAATTGATTATTTGTCGATTAATCGGTGCAGCCCTACTTCAGAACGCATCAACAAAAATGAAAAGCAGGAAGACGAGGCTGTAGCTAACTACCTGACGTCAGCGCGGTTTGATGAAATAACAAGCAAACGCATCGAGCAGCTTTATAAAATCTGGTCACAGCAGTTTGGGAAGAAAATGGCAGCAGCTGCTGATGAAATGTCGACATCCCAACCTGATGATATTTTTGTTTTTTTAGAAATATGTTGCTGTGGGAGAACTGGGAAAAGCAACCGACACATTGGATGCCACTGGGACAGTGATTCTGGAGAAAGGATTTGGTAAAAAGATGAAATCTTTTCACTGTCCAGCATCTGATGGTCCAGATTTCAACTCTTCCCTGCTCTCTGCTCCCCTTCAGAACACATCACCAGGCCAGACATGGAGGACAAGCTGAAGTCTTTTACTGGTGACATCATGCAAGTACCTCCCCTGTGAGGACCAGTTTCTGTTTCTTCACAATAACACACAGCGGTTTCAGGAAGCATTCATTCCCTCCTTCCTGTACACAGTTTTATGTCACAGCCTCCACTCTGGCTTATTATAATACTAAAAACTCAATTTAATACTTTGTAAACTTAAAGACGAACTTACCCCAGAATCAACTTTTTTTGCAGATAAACTGTCTAAACTGTGTCTTAAGGGTAATACATTTCTATGTATGACTAAAATTCAACATTTTGGTCTAAAATTGTTTAAATCTACAATATTGTGTCTAAAAACGTCTTTGTGCTGCTCTCTATGGCTTTAACTATGGCTGCTACGTTTGAATTTCATTATTCGTTCAAAAAGTACCGTGTGACGCTGCTGGTACTGTGTGACGTGTCACAGTACTGTGTGACGTGTTGTCACAGTACTGTGTGACGTGTTGTCACAGTACTGTGTGACGTGTTGTCACAGTACTGTGTGACGTGTTGTCACAGTACTGTGTGACGTCACACAGTACTGTGTGACGTCACAGTACTGTGACGTGTCACAGCACTGTGATGTGTCACAGTACTGTGTGACGTCACAGTACTGTGTGACGTGTTGTCACAGTACTGTGTGACGTGTCATAGTACTGTGACGTCACACAGTGCTGTGACACATCACAGTGCTGTGCAGGAATGTGCAGGAAATGTGAGATCGCACAATAAATCCAGTGATAAATGTAGAAGTCTGAGCAAAACAAGTCATTGTGTGGAAGTCGAGTTGAAACTGCATCACTGTCTGTCGACTTTCTGAAACTTCTGATTTCAGAGTAAAATCCACGTGTATCGTGTGTGTATGAATATGTTGTGAGCTGCATGTTTCCATCTGCTTCCTAATCATAATGATGCATTTTGACAGCATTTATGTATAAATTTACCCATATAATTATTAATATAACAAACAGTTTGACAAAATTGCTCTTTCTTTGGGGATTTATTTTGTAAAATCCTAAGTTGTGCTCATTCTTCTTCCTGTTGGTGCAGTGTGATTTTTGCAAATTAACTCTGGAGCAGCTCCGGCGATGGGCAAAAGATGAATCTAATTTTGGTGGATCTGGGTCCGGTCGCTGCTCTGCACCATCATGAGGAGCAGTGTAAATACTGTCTCTGATTATAATGGTTGAATATTTACTGCAGAGGTTGGAACACAGCAGAACAGCATGGTGTCAATTTAGGGTTAAGTTCTATCTCCTTCTGGGCCCGACAAGGTCCAGACTCACACTCTGGGCCCCAACCCGGGCCCCTAATGGGTCCGGGCCGGGGGCGTACCGCCCTCCCAGCCCCCACCCCGAAGCTCCGCCCCTGCCTACAACATTTCACAAATAATAAAGTGTTCTGCGACATGTCCTGTTTTACTACAATAACGTTAAGTTCCAAATATAAACCCCTGCATCATTGGCCTGGATGCACGCGTTCTGTGTGAAGTACGAACCGATCCGACCGATCCGAGACCGCCTGGTGTGCCGCAGCGCGTTCACGCTGTGAGTCAGATTCACTGTTCACTGTCGACCGTTTTTCTTTTTGTCCCGTATTAAAGCAAAGATGAATCTGTTTAACGTTTACCTCCTCATCCTCACCTGGAGAACAGCACCATGTTCTCCAGGTGAGCGTGTTTCAAATGTTTCTGTAGTTTATCAGTTTAATTTTTCACTGCTTGTTTATATTTAGAACCACACTGTGATAAATGTAATTCAATAAATGATCAAATGTGTAGAATAAACAGTATTAAATGATTACATGAGTTTGAACAATTTTAATAACTTAAAATAAATCAGACTAACTAATAAAAAGTATTTTCAAGTTATTTTGTTCTGTATAACAGACAGATATTTGCTATAAGTTTCAAATAAATAATTAGGATTTGTCTGGTCAAATAAAGGTCAATAAATAAATCTGTCCATCCATCATTAGTGTTGTAACCAGTTCCAAACATCATGTATCAGTTTTTCATAATACAAGCTGACAGAAGTTATTTTCTTTATGTCACCATTGTTTGTCACAGAGTTAGTTTATGTTCTGAAGGCTGCATGATGTCATCATGTCAGTTTGTTATGAGTGGACCTGTCGTTAAATCAGACAAAGAAATGTGTCCTCAGGTTCTACCCTCTACACGCCCACACTCAACCATAAACAGTCAATGTAAAGTACCTCATGAATGTTAAGATGTATTTAAATCAGTCAGATGATCAGTGATTGGTTCAGACAGGTGCTGACTGACAGCTGCTCACCTGAACAGAATGTCTGTAACTGACACAGATTTTACTCATTTTGCTTTAGAGTAATCTAACCATTTTTATAAAAAAAATAAATAAACATAAAAC